GAGTTTTATGTTGATTGTTTGAATTTAAAACCAATACTGCAGCCAATGACGTCATATAAAAGTGTACAGAGTGTACACACTATTCGGATTAATTCCTAATGCCCTATCTTCTACTATTCTACCGTCTTTGAAACAAATAAATCCCTTCTACAGTGTGACTGTGATCGTTGTGATTTAGGTCCTGGGACGTTTTTTTGCTTAATTAAAAGCTAATTTATATTTCTGAATGATTTAACAAGTAATTTTGATTAATTCTTAAACCTTCTAAGTTTTTGTTAAAACTTCTTGCCTAATTTTCCGTCAATCGAAGGCAAGATGGCTGAGGACTTGTTTTGAGAAGTTTGGCATTTTTTCTATTCAAGTTAATAAATCACGAATTTTGATAAAATTTTAAAAATAAGTTGATGTATATTGATTTAAAATTTTCTACTTTAATTGCGAAAAAAATGTGAAATGTACACTTACTGTCTTTCTCAACAACGGCTTCCTCTAAATGAGCGCCACTGTTGAAATCTTGAAGATTTGCTCCTTGAGTTTTCAGGTCTTTGTTTATCAATCCTGTCAGCTGACTTTGTGACAGCGACACTAGAATACTCACCTGAAATAGAAATTAAAATAATTTTATAGTTTGTTAAGATTTTTTCATCAAATCAAATGGTTTATTCCCTATATTTATGCACTCTGATGTTGCAAACCTTTGATATTTTAAACTTGAATTGCTGGATCTAACAGAACTCATAGTTTTTTATAAAAAGGTCTACGACATTGGGTTGCAAAGATATAAGGATAAAAAATATCAAAACTCAGTTCCTTATTAAAATCGTTTAAATCTATATAGTTGTATTTAAAGGTCATATATAAAAAATAGGATAAAATGTCGAGTGCACTGTTTCAAAATTGAAAATTCCAATAATATTGTTCGTAGCTCTTTGTCTAAAGAAAGTTAGATTCAAATGAAAATAAATTTAATGTTGCAATAAAAAGTTTAAAATAAAATATTGAGGTGATTTATGTTTTAAAATCTTAGTTACTATATCATCAATTGAATATAAAGTTAACGCACCGAAAACTTCTTTAAAAAGGAAAACCTCTTTTAAGTGCTTTAAATCAGGAACATGCTTTGGACCAAGGGCAGATGATCCACGAATTTTGACAATTTTCCCAAGAAAACCATAGGATTGAAATTAAACCCTCTCTTTCTTGTTGAGTACATTTTTGCAAATTACTCTTTAAACTGTTAAAAAAATCTTGTATGAAAGTTCGGCATTCGACCAAATGATAGTCATAGCTAAAACTTTATCTAGGCCATTTAAAAAAAAATTATTCAACAGTGGACATCTATGGTAAAAAACTTTATTTAGTGATTTTTCATGGAAGAAATCAAAACAAATATACTTCACCCCCTTCCCCCTTGCCCACGTTTTTTAATTGTAGACAATTGTAAAATTCTGGTAAATACTTTTTTGGCTCATCTTCTCTGCCTAGAATTTTAAAATTGTTGCACATTTCCTCCAGACATAGTTTGTATATATATAACCGGAAGTTGAGGTTCTACAACCGGAAGAGAGAGTTGAAAGATAAGTAAGCAAATCCGGCAAATCTAGACGCAGCTACTATATAGCTACCCATAAATATCAACTACAGTTTACCGTTTCATATTTTAGTTTCCTCCTGGAAAAAATAAGATAGTATATTTTCTGTAAATACAGGCATATGCACTGTAGCTTTCTATAATTATAAAAGAAATCTAGAAAATTAAGTTTCTATTTTTCTTGAATGTGACCGCTTGATATCTTATAAAGTTTTAAACGTTTTTCAGTAATTTATATTTACATTATTTTTATGTTTAAAAAGTGTTTTTTTATAAGCTGAAAATAAAACCAGGGTATAAATCTTAATTTGATTTTTACGAAAATGATAAAGGAATCCATAAATAAATTGGGTTCTCTTTACTTCTCTAAAATGTTTTAGCAAAAGAATTTAATATGCCATAGCTTGCCATACTCCAAGTCGTAATTATTTACCACTAGAGTTATTTGAGGGAATTTCCATTTATTGTGTGGAATTTCAGATTCACAACGGTACCCTTAAAAGCTTTGTCTCATCAAGAATGCATGATATATCAATTGTCTTCTTTTTAAAGTTGATTATTTACAGAAACATGACAGTATACTCCCACATTATTGATTATATAAATGTTTAAGGGTATACCGTTAGCAATGGATATTCCCATCCTTAAATGAAAATCATCCTGAAATTAAAACAATAGTTTCTTCATGAAAAAAGGCCTGTAAAGAATGTTTTTGTTTAAAACTCTTGAAACCTGAAAAGGTTTCTCTAAAATTTTGATTGAATAAATTGCTGTGTGAATCTTAGTGTCAAATGGGCGTATCTATATTTTAGGTCTAAAACACCCCCTGTGGTTGGGCGGGGCAGTCTTCGACCAGGGGCGTATATATGGGGGGGGGCTATGGGCACTGAACCGCCCTTCCTCCTGGATAAGTTATGGCTCCCATTGCTTTTTCCTCTGGAAAAAAGGTCGAGGCCCTTTTTTCCCTTTTATTCTACATCAGTTTATTTGTATCTAAACAGATCAACATCATGGATCAACGTTTCTTAAATCAACAAATTAGATGTTCTAAATGTTCTAAATGTTCTAAATGTTCTAAATGTTCTAAACGTTCTAAATGTTCTAAATGTTCTAAATGTTCTAAATGTTCTAAATGATCTAAATGTTCTAAATGTTCTAAATGTTCTAAATATTCTAAATGTTCTAAATAATGCAAGGAGTTTCAACTGCGTTATTTTTAAGCACGTGAACCTTAATTTTTAAGAGTTGTATGCCTGATTCTCAATGATACCCTATAAACCTTCGTGCGAACAAAACTGACGATTATACCATTGCTTTTCTTCTTGAAAGTTGACAAAAGAAATTAGTTTTTGCAACAAACTAAAAAATTTCAATTCCTTTTTCTTAGCAACCTGATGATGTAAACCTATAATATTTCAAACGCATGTTATTAGATCTAAGAGAATTCATAGTTTAAAATAACAAATGTCTACAACTTCGGGTTGCAAAGATACACAGATTAAAAAATTAAGTTTGTGGCAAGAACTCATTTCCTTTAGATTGTCTCCTATAGGAACTTATTCAGCAGAAACAAATTCAACTATTTTTAAGATAGAAAAACTACGATATCTCCATCAATGCTACTTAGAGAAAGGTGTAAAGGATAAGGTTGTTAATCGGGCAGCTTTTTAATTGGGGGCTCACTTGAAATGCCGGTTTTAGTCTCTTCAATCCCCTTTTCTTAAGATTATGGTATTTATGATGCCTAGCTGTATATTTGCAGACATGTAATACCTTAAAATTGATATAAAAAATCATATTTGACTCTAGTTTATATCAAATAAAAGTAAAAAAAAATTATATTTGACTCTAGTTTATAAAAAATAAAAGTAAAAAAAAAATCATATTTGAATCTAGTTTATATCAATATTTGACTCTTATAGTTTCTATCAAATAAAAGTAAAAAAATTATATTTGACTCTAGTTTATATCAAATAAAAGTGAAAAAATCATATTTGACTCTAGTTTATATCAAATAAAAGTGAAAAAAATATTTTTGACTCTGTTTATATCAAATAAAAGGAAAAAATTATATTTGACTCTAGTTTATATCAAATAAAAGTACAAAATCATATTTGACACTAGTTTATATCTAATAAAAGTAAAAAAAATCATGTTTGACTCTAGTTTATATCAAATAAAAGTAAAAAAATCATATTTGACTCTAGTTTATATCAAATAAAAGTGAAAAAATCATATTTGACTCTATCAAATGAGTAAAAGAATTTTTTTGCCAAAAATCAAATAATTGCAAATAAAAAATAAAAATGAGAAAAATACAGTGAGTGAATTTTAGAATGAAACGCTAAAAAATCTTACTGAGAAGTTTTCAACAAACGATTTAAACAAAAAATTTTATATTACAAATTTTTNAGCTTTCTAAACTATAAAATCAACAACTCTCATTGGTCATAAGCTTTCTAAGCAATAAAATCAACAACTCTCATTGGTCATAAGCTTTCTAAACAATAAAATCAACTACTCTCATTGGTCATAAGCTTTCTAAGCAATAAAATCAACAACTCTCATTGGTCACTAAGCTTTCTAAACAATAAAAAACCAACTCTCATTGGTCACAAGTTTTTTTAAACAATAAATTCATCACTCTCATTGGTCACAAGCTTTTTAAGCACTAAAATCACCAACTCTCATTGGTCACAACCTTTCTAAACAATAAAATCATCCACTCTCATTGGTCACAAGCTTTCTAAACTATAAAATCAACAACTCGCATTGGTCACAAGCTTTCTAAACAATAAAATCACCAACTCTCATTGGTCACAAGCTTTCTAAACAATAAAATCAACAACTCTCATTGGTCACAAGCTTTCTAAACAATAAAATCAACAACTCTCATTAGTCACAAACTTTCTAAGCAATAAAATCACCAACTCTCATTGGTCACAAGCTTTCAAAACAATAAAATCAACAACTCTCATTGGTCACAAGCGTTCTAAGCAATAAAATCATCAACTCTCATTGGTCACAAGCTTTCAAAGCAATAAAATCACCAACTCTCATTGGTCACAAGCTTTCTAAGCAATAAAATCACCAACTCTCATTGGTCACAAGCTTTCTAAGCAATAAAATCATCAACTCTCATTGGTCACAAGCTTTCTAAGCAATAAAATCACCAACTCTCATTAGTCACAAGCTTTCTAAACAATAAAATCAACAACTCTCATTGGTCACTAAGCTTTCTAAACAATAAAATCATTAACTCTCATTGGTAGCTTCCTAATCAATAAAATCAACAACTCTCATTAATCACAAGCTTTCTAATCAATAAAATCAACAACTCTCATTGGTCACAAGCTTTCTAAGCAATTAAATCAACAACTCTCATTGGTCACAAGCTTTTTAAACAATAAAATCATAAACTCTCATTGGTCATAAGCTTTCTAATCAATAAAATCATTAATTCTCATTGGTCTCAAGCTTTCTAAACTATAAAATCAACAACTCTCATTGATCACAAGCTTTCTAATCAATAAAATCATTAACACTCATTGATCACAAGCTTTCTAATTAATAAAATCAACAACTCTCATTGATCACAAGCTTGCTAAACAATAAAATCATTAACTCTCATTGGTCACAAGCTTTCTAAACTATAAAATCAACAACTCTCATTGGTCACAAGCTTTTTAAACAATAAAATCATAAACTCTCATTGGTCATAAGCTTTCTAAGCAATAAAATCAACAGTTCTCATTGGTCATAAGCTTTCTAAACAATAAAATCATTAACTCTCATTAGTCACAAGCTTTCTAAACAATAAAATCATTAACTCTCATTGGTCATAAGCTTTCTAAGCAATAAAATCAAGAACTCTCATTGGTCACAAGCTTTCTAAACAATAAAATTATTAACTCTCATTGGTCATAAGCTTTCTAAACAAAAAAATCATTAACTCTCATTGGTCATAAGCTTTCTATGCAATAAAATCAACAACTCTCATTGGTCAT